AATATTTAGGTCCTAAAATAACATTTAATGTAAAACAAGGACAGGGCTCTGAGGAGAGAATAGGACCTTTACTAGATATTGTGCAAGGTTCCAGTCACACGGTCCCTATTGTAGCTGAACAAACTCGTTTTCCAACATATTATCTTCTTTCACAGCCATACTCCTCATTTTGTGATTGCGTCATTTCTTTGGACAATGTTGAGCAGTGTGCTTTGGTTCTCTACAATATAAACATAATCCTTCTTGACGACGACAAGTCTTTTCTTATTGAGTAAGAGGTTTGAAACGTACTGCATCAATTTGCATATCTTCTACTTCCGAATGTATGTGTTGAAGAGGTGTTGGTGTTGCCATTGAATTATAGTAACGTTGAGGTCCACTTATACGGTTCTCAGATCAGAATTCAAAAAGGCGATTGTTGCACTTCACAGCAAAGTCAATTGGTTGACTCAATGTTTGAGGATCAGATAAGTTGAGCATTAATTTTTTTACCTCATATTGTAATCCATAGAGAAATTGGCTAATAAGTGCAACATCATCCCACTTGATATCAGTTACAAGTTGTCAAAATTTTAAAGCATACAATGTTACTGATCGATTGTCTTATCGTAAAATACAGATCTTATTGGTTGCAATACAAATTACATCATGTTCTCCATACATGGATCGAAACTCTGCCAGAAAAGCCTCTAGATTATCCAATATTGAATCTCGTCGTTTAAGAAAAAATGAAAACCACGATAGTGCTGAATCTAAAAGAAGCGTACCAATGAATCTAACTTGCGATCCTGGAGTTGGATAGCTTTGGGGTTGAAGTTCAATCACAAGTTGCACTTAATTGATAAATCCTCGAAACTTGGATCTGGTGCCATCAAACTTCTTGGGTAGGACAATTCTTAGTTCTCTAATACTGGAAGGGCGTTCCACCATAGGAGAAAAGACATGGTTTGGTGCAGATGTTGAAGCAGCTTCAACCATTTCTATGTCTTCACTTCCTGCCAATCTTATTGCTCCTTGAGGTGGTAAATTGAATTGATGTATTGCAAGCATTAACTTCTACAATTGCTCTTACATTTGTGCCATTGCATTCTTCATTTCAACAAGTTCTGCCATGATAACACTTAGAAAAGAGAAGATGTCTAATATTGCTCAAGACAAATAGAAGAGAGGACTTGAGAACAAAAAAAATACTAAAGACAATATCAGTTTAGAAGAGGGTAATCCGCAACTTCTAATATGGTTATATCTTATCAAAAAAAAGGAGTAATCCATTCTTAATCAAGATTAGACAAAGCTCTGATATTGTAGGTGTACTCTTGTCAATCTGTCAAAGATAAGAACTCGATGAAAAGCAATTCTGACAAGTGAGCCTTCACTCAAAGAAAGGTAACAAAATATAAATAAACAAGTATGTATATTGAAAGAGAAAATGAAATGACTATTGCCAAAGACTAGAAAACATGAAGACTCTTGAAACTAGGCTGGGAGCAAGAAAAGAGTTGACAAGAGTGAAGAAGGCTTCACTCTTGTCTCTATATATACTATCCAACTAGGGACTACGTGGCGATGTTCTATAGGACCTCCAATATGTGTTGACTTTGTAGGACACATGCCTTGACTTATAAGGCAAGTTTTTCTATGTGTGGGCCGCATAGTTAGCTTGATCTTCAAGTTAACAATATGTGTGACACATGGCCAACTTGTTGACCACATTTCTAATTGAGAAAAGTCAATTAAAGATACCTATGAAGTCAAAGCAATGTCTATGAAGCTTCTAGGAAGCTTCCATATTAAATACTATAGAATGAACTTATTTTTACTTACTTTTATTTACTTCCACCTATTTGTATATGTAATTATTAGCTTATATAAGTATGTCCGTGACATAGGAACGTTTCTAGTACATCAAATATGAATACTTTATTTCTTTGTTGATTGGATACTCATCTTTGAAGAGATGGGAATACATTTTCTTCAAAACAAAAATTTTGCAAAGGTGTACATAATAATGTGTGAGTTGATGGATCAACAATATGAATAATGCTTGGTGAATCAAAACCAACATATATGCCTTCTTGTCGATGAACTCTAATGGTACACCGTTGAAGTTCTGGTATTGGAATCCAAGTACGGTAATCAAATACTTGTAAGTGAGATACATTTGGAATACGACCCGAAATGAGTTCATGTGGTGAAACAATTTTAAGAGAAAAAGGGGAGAGGCATATTAATGCAGCAGCATGTAAAACTACATGATCCCACATAGATGTAGTTAAATTTGCGTGAAGGAGGAGTGGCCGTGTAATGAGTCCTATATGCTTTATAAATGACTCTGCAAGTCCATTTTGAGCATGTTCATATGGAACACAATATGTCAACTCGATTCTTATTGCACTACAATAGTCTTCAAAAGACTTTGATGTGAATTCTTTTGCATTATCCATACACAATGTTTTTATAGGATAATCAGGAAAATATGACCAAAAACAAATAAGCATAGATATAAGATTGGCAAACACCATGTTTCGAGTTGATAATAATGAAACATGTGATTGTTTACTTGATGCATCAACAAGGACCAAAAAATAACGAAATGGTCTTCATATTGGATTAATAGGACCACAAATATCACCATGCAATCTTTCAAGCATTGGTGGTAATTCTTGTGGAAGTTTCTAAATTGAGGGCTGAGTAATCATTTTATCTTACATACATTCACGACATAATTCCATAGAGTCTATATCTGCATGCTTTAAATTATGCCCAGTTATACATGGAATTATCTTTCTAAATAATGTAGATCTTGGATGTCTCAATCGTCCATGCCAGAGAGAAACACGACTTTCTGTAATAGATGATGTAAAATTAAATATGATAGGAGGCCGAATCACAATTCGATATCAACCATTTTCTGTAGTAAAAGCTTTTTCAACAACTTTCTGGTTCTTTGCAAGAACCAAAACCTCTTTTCTATTTAAAGTGGCAATCGAGAGATGATAACCATTAATACGCATATCTTGGTAGCTGATCAGACTCTGAGGTGCTTAGGGTGCAAACATCGCATGTTTACATTTTATAATAGAATCTGCAGGTAATTTTACTATCGTTGTGCCTTCTTAGAAACAAAACGTATTTGCTCCAACCATGGTCATCATATTTTTAGTTTGCCAAGTTGAAGATTTTTCAATAAAAAATCGTCTATTTCGCAAGATAGTATGTATTGTTGCAGAATCAATGAGCACATTATTTGATTCATCATTAGAGGTTCTATCATTCATATAAGCTTCTAAGTCATCAACACCAATTGAATCCATGGATGCATCCATGGTATGAACTTCATGAGCCTCAGCTCGCAATTTCTTATTTTTTTGGAACATTTTAATAAAATATTTTGAAGTATGGCACGCATGTACTAAATGTCCAATCATTCCACACTTATGGCAAGAAGACATCTCTGATTTTTATTTTCTACTATAATTAATAGTAGAACGTTTATTCTTTCCATATGGATAGAAATGGTCATAACTATGTCTACCCTCATACTTATGACCACGTTTCCCATGTTTATATAATTTCTTCTTAGACTTTGAAATATTAAGTGCATGAGATTCAGGAACTATAGTTCCAATAAGACGAGCTTCCGCATTGTGCAAGAGTAGGTCATTTTGCTTCTCCGGAAGAAGTAGATAGGACATGAGATCAGAATGACTCTGAAATTTCATGTTCCTGTATTGTTGTGCAAGCACAGCAAATACAGGAGGAAATGTAGAGAGAATTTTCTCAATCATTTCTTCTTTAGAAATGCTTTGTCCATATAATCGTAATTGTGAGACAATACTATACATTTCACTATTGAAAGTATTTAAATTTGGAAAATCTAAGACACGTAAATGTGTCCAATTATGACGTGCACGTGGAAGAAAAATGGTCTTTTGATGATCAAACTTGGATTTAAGATTCTTCCAAAGTTCTGCAGGATTTTCTATTTTCAAATATTGATGTTGTAATGCAGGTACAAGATGACAACGAAGGAGAAGAAGTGCTTTCCAATGAATAGCAGGAGGTATAGAAATACTTATTGTAGGAGATTCTTCAAACATAATGGCATCTGAGAGTTGTTTCGCAAATAAATATGCCTTTGCCATTTTTACCCATAATAGATAATTGTTTCCATCCACAGTCAATGGTGGAAATAAAAGAGCTTGAAAATGTTGGGATGTATTAGTAGTAGTTGGAATCATAGTAGAAGTAGTTGAAGATGTTGAAGCACTCATTATAAATAAATTTGTAAAGAAAATACAAGATTAAGTAGAAAAGTTGAATAAAACGTATCTTAAAATATTAAGTCAAATAAAATAATAAACTTGAACTTGAAAAAAAAACAAATATATATATATATATATATATATATATTTTAGGGGGTTTAAAATAAGGCAGTAGAATAGCAATAAGATGGCAGTAGAATAGCAATAAGCAGTAGTAGGGCGGCAAGGTGGCAGTAGACAACAACGGCGACGAGCCACATGGTAGCAGTAGGGGCAGTGGCGGGTTCGGCAGTAATTTGGCAGCTGTTTGGCGGTAGTTCGGCATTAGGCTAAACCTGGAGTGCAACAGGGAGCAAGGAGCAAGTTGGGGTGGAGTTGGACTGGATGAAGTATTCTAAACAAGTATTCTAAGCAAGCAAGGGAGAGAGTGGAACAAGTGCTCTAAACAAGCAGCTAATGTGTGAGGGGCCAGTAAGAAGAACAAGATCATGAGGCAGACACTAAGCAAGAGTAGCAACAAGTTTGAAGAGTTAAGACTAGAGCAAAAAAATTTGTGATAGTGTGTAGAAGAGAGTTGTGATGATAATGTGTTGAGAATATTTAGAAAGACACAAAAGTAAGAGTTAATCATACACACACACAAGAGTAGTATTAAGTCATACACACAAGAGGGTTTCTAAGGAGACAGAGCTTCACACATAAAAATCTATTCATTTGATACTGTCTCGTATATAAGAACAAAAAAGAGAACACGATGAACAATGCTTCTCCGCTAGACTCCAAATATTGTAGCTATGGTATTTAATGTAGTCTACAGTAAATATTATGGAAAGCGCCAGCTCCATTTAATGATCTCAACACACATCTTACAATTCTATCATTCATTGTTCTCACTTTGAAAATCTTTGGATGTTCAAAGTGATGGATCTTTGGATATCAACCTTATGACATATTCCACATTTCCACATCCGAACTCTTTTGGTACTCGTGATTTCATCGACTTTCTGTTTTCTAATGTCCCATTTCTAAATTTATAATAAGGTTACAATAAATCAGCCTAGATTAGGAAAAGCTTCACCCGGCAATGGACAGAAGCACCAGCCTAAAAACCATGCAGCACTGATTGAAGAGGAACACTCCCCTGCGGCAATTGCAAGGCGCATCATTCAGTTGTGGCTGATGCATGGCGTGCACTAACATCGAGACAAGAGTGGTACACAACGTCCAAGATCAGCGAAGAATAGCGGTGACGCGTCACAAAACGATGGATACAATAAGAACGGCTGACCGACTCCGCGGACGAAAAGACAAAGAAGTCGCAGCCCAAGTACATGGCAAGCTCTGTCCACACGCATGCGCACTTGGCTACCACATTGGAATCATCTCTGATCGGCTACGGGGATCTGCTCTTTAAAGTCAGTGAAATTCGGCTTGCAGTGACCGGCGAGAGCACCAGGAGGATCGATGAATCTCCCACTCAGAAAGGCAAGCGCTTGCAGACGGTTTTGGTGTTCGGTGGGGTGGGTGCCGTCCCAGCTGATGTACTCCGAAGGATGGGAGCACACAGTTGCGTCCGGGTGCCCGCAACTCCTGGCGGGATCGTAGTTGTAAGGGGTCGGACGAACTCCGCAGCACGCCTGAATAGTATATTTGAACCCTGCGGAGTATCGCCATAAACATCGAGGCACGAAACATGTGAGAATTGTGAACATTTGATCACCCTCTCTGGCTCACTATCTCTACTTCGATTCGCAAAAACTATGCTTTTTCAGTATTTGGAAGCAAGGCATACCATATTTCTCCGGGTTTTCGATCAGATCAAGATTAAACCCGTAGTCATCAGCCAACATGAACAGTGCATCGGGATGCTTCCCTCTGATATCATCGACGGCGGATTTCAGCCTGGCGTTGTGCTGTTGGGTTATGTTGTTCATTGCTCTCAGGCAGCCCAGCCGATCGTAGTCCCCTGGAGACGAGCCTGGAAATTGGGCCAATAGGAAAGGCTTGCAGCCTTCTGAGGGTATATTGAACACGAGGAATTTCCTTGCACCGCTTTCGTATAGATTCTGCAGCGCCAAGAAGTCACTCGGGTTAGCTTACACGTACTTTCACAAGAACATGCACGGTGATTAAACAGCACTGAGGATTCGGGCAGAAACCAGCCACTACTGTCATCGTCGCTACCACACATACAATGTAAGATGAAATCATTTTGCTTCATCCCTCTTAGATTTTCTGCGAGGGCTATGAGGTTAACATAGCTCCGAGACTTACTTCTAGCGCCAAGGTGATATTACCAACAACGTCGGGTATACTCTTCGCCACTTCCTCATAGGACAAGTTGTTAAAGTACCCCTTTCTGTAATCGTTCTCGCCTATGTTGATGATATGTAACCCTTGATCGAATGAACTTGCCACTGGGCCCTTCGAAATCGTGCCATCTCCAATGGCTCCGGCATCAGATGCAAGATGTTTGGCCCATTTGTACTGTTGCACCTGAGCCTGCAAGTGGAATATCACGCCCTTGTACTGCACTGGCCGAGCATTGCCACAGGATGCAGCGAAGTTGATACCTTTCCTGAAGTCGGAATTTATGCCTTGCAGATAAGCGCTCAGAAATGGGATGTTGAACGCCTGAGCTGCAATACACGCATACGACATTGAGATTTGTGTATCCGCAGAAATTCCAAGCCTGGCAACACTGGAAAGTTCTGTTCAAGCAAACCACCAAGAGAGGTGAGAACAGTACCAAGAAAGTCGATGGGTAGTCTGCCGTCGGAGAACCGTGTGACTGGCCGACCAAAGTACGACGAACCATAGGGAGGAAACGCAGAGGGGATAATGAAGGGCTGGGAAGCTTGAACTTCTCCCACGTCAGACCTCGAGTCCCCGAACATGAACACGCCCGGGTAGCACGTAAACTCACTCGCCTCGGCATCCGACACGGCGGCCACAGCCTCAACGTTGAAGCAGCACAACAAACCCAGCAACAACGCGACCGCTATGCACCGCACTCCACACGGGGTCCTCGGTTGGATCGTCATTGAGCTGGCGCAGCGACCGAGGTCCCCAAACCTTTGCAAATTCACTCCTCTATCCTCCGCTCCAACGCAATGCAGCTATAAATACAATTCCAGGGATTGAGGATACTCCCGGAGATGATGGGTAACGGCATGACAAGCATGTCTGTAGATCTCTATCCGGATAGAGCTCTCGCTCCATCCAGCCCCCCTCTCTCGTGTTGTGTTGTTGTGGGTTCATTTATTTTATTTTTTCTGTGTTCCTGGCATGTGAATGCCTTAATCTGAGGAGTAGGCTGTTGTCTCCCAGAAATAGGCTGTGGCACTGAAGGGGGTTATGGTCATAACATTGGCTTTAGTGCGCCTTGCACCATACAAGGGCTATGTGCCTATGGGAGCGTATGCAACGATGCATTCTCTCAAGTGCTCTAGTGCAACGCATTCATGATTGCCATGCAATCCCATTCGCTACTCGTTGCTTGCCACTCTGCTCATGTTGTGCCTATCTGAGGTCTGTCCTTACATGCCCCTCCCAACAAAGATTCTTTAAAACATAGGATTAAGATGCCACAATTGTCATTAAAGGTAAAAATGAGGGAATGAGAGAGGGAGGTGCTATGTATTGAAGAAAAAGAACTTTGAAGTCACCAATACATAGCATCAGTAAGGTTGTTTACAAAGAGAGTATGGAGTAAGATATCTATCACTTCCAACATCCATTAGTTATAGGTGGTTGTTATTATCCTAATAGACAACTTCTATCTTTTGATGACTATATCCATCTAACAATCTACTAAGACTATCTCTATTTATCTTATCTTCGATAAGAATACATTTTTAGTATATTTTTTATATCTTTAAGATTCTTTGTGTATTCATATATTTTATCTCTTTACTTTCTTACATATCAAGAGCCAATTCTTTAACAAATAGTAACTTATCTAAAATAATATCTTTTATAATATAACTTATTTTACTTTCATCTTTACTTATTTACTTTAATACTCTCACTTTGCTATTAGTCAAAAGCTTTTAATCCTAATGCCTTTTTCAACATGTGATGTTTATTTTTTTATTAATATCGTTATCAATAAATCAGTAAGTATGTTTTCTGTTGCACAATACTTCATATTAATTACTTCCATTTCAATGTTCTATCTTATGAAGTGATGTTGAATGTCAATATACTTGGTCCTTGAATGATGCTTTGAATTCTTTGTAAATCCAAGTCATCGTTGATTATTATACTCCATTGAAGTTGCTTCCATTTGTATTACTTCAATATCCTCCAAAAGTTATTTTAGTCATATTGTCTCTATTGTACGGTAGCTTGCTGTCATATACTCCACATCCATTGTTGATCTTACAATTATTTTTTGTCTCTTACAATTCTATGAAATAGCTTCCACTCCAAGAAAAAAAAACAAATCTTGTTGTTGAGCTTCTATCATTTTACATCTCCAGCTCAATCTATATGATAATAACTACATAAAGTAATATTATCATCTCTAAGATATAATTTGAAATGCAAAGTATCTTTTAAATATTTCATGATCCTTAGGTGGTTGCCCAATAGATTGGTCCAACTTTTAACATGTGTTGATCTATGACAGTCACTACATATGTAAGATCTATTATTATGTCAACCATTGCATATATAAGTGAGTTCATTGCTGCTTTGTATAGAACACCTTGTATTTGATCTTTAATTTTAGTAAAATCTTTATCTATGACCTTCATCAACTTCAAATTGGCCTCCAAAGATGTGCTTATAGGCTTATATTCTTGTACGTTGAATCGTTTCAATACTTCTTCAATGTATTTGTTTTGGCTCATTGTAATAGTCTTTTTAGCATGAACTTTGACAAACTCCACTCCTAAACAATACTGAAGTTCTTTCAAATCACTTACCTCATATTCATTTTCTAACTTTACCTTCAATCAATCCATCATCTTCAATACATTGGTTAAGATGATCAAATCATCAATATAGAGAATCACAATGAATATAAATTCACTTGATTGTATCATATATATAGAATGATCAGCCTTATTTCTTTCAAATTCTTCATTTAAGAAGAATGTATCAATATATTGATATCATGCCATTGATAATTCTTTAAGTCTATACAAGAATTTTTTTAACTAACAAATAAGGTGTTATTTGCTTTTTTCAATAAATCCTTAAAGTTGATTCATATAGACATCTTTTTTTAATCTCTCATTTAAAAAATCCCTCTTCACATCTATTTGATGTATCTCCAAGTTCATTGCTACCTCAATTACCACAATGATTCTAATAGTCTTGAATTTGGCCATAGAAACAAATGTGTCATTGAAATCAATACGAGTAATTTGTGGGTAGTCTTTGGCAACTAATCTAGCTTTGTATCTCACAATATTATCCATTGTATCTTTCTTGGTCTTAAATACCTATTTATAACCAATTTAAGATCAATTTGGTAGAAGTTGAGTTATTTTCCATGTTTTATTTTCTATAAGTGATTTGTACTCTTTTTCCATGGCATTCTCTTACTTCACAGCATCTGTGGACTTCATTACATCATAAAAATTTAATGGATCAAAAAGAGTGCAATATTGGCATTTTCTTCACTATTTAAAAAAAGATGTGATTCATCTACCAATCACCAAGTTGTTTTTTATCTTTCAAAGGATATCTCTTTTTATTTGATAAAAATTCACCTTCTTATATTCCAAGGTCTGTTGTAACCTTTTTTTTTTTTTAAAGCTTGTCTCTTGATAATTAATGGTTAATACTTCTCATCATCATTATCTTCAATATTTTAATTATCTTCATTGCTGATTCTAGCAATTATAGACATACTTTGATTTATCTTCTTTGGCTCTTCATCTTCACTCACATCTTTACGAACTTCATTGTCATTATTTTTTTTTTCTTTCTTTGCTAGAATTGAAGATGTGTCTACAAACACACCATTATTCCTACTTCGACACATCTCTAAGTGCTGACAAGCACTCTTATGCTCCAAAAATTCTACATCATGACTCTTGATGATCTTCTTGGTTTCTAAATACATAAGTCTATATGCTTTAGTATCTTCATAATATCCAACAAACACATATTTTGTAACTTTTTCATTAAATTTGGACCTCATATAATCTAGTACTTTTGTCTAAGCAATGCATCTAAAAATCCTCATGTATGAAATATAAGGTTTTTTGTCACTCCAAGCTTCTTATAGAGTCATTGATGTGAATGCACTTGTAAGGCACATACACTATTATAACTATGGCTTTTGTCCAATATTCATGCCTAAGATTTTACATTTAAAGCATATTCCTTACAATCTTCACAATGGTGTGATTTACTCTTTCAGCAACTCTATTTTGTTGTAGAGTGTAAGAAATAGAGGTTTGTCTTATAATGCCTTGAGTCTTTAAAAAAATATCAAAATACTTTGATATATACTCTTTTCTATTGTTTGTATGTAACACTTTGATATTGCACTCACATTACTTTTCTACAAATATCTTAAATTCTTTAAACCTTAAAAAGCATTCACTTTTGGCTTTATGGATGTAAATCTACACATTTTTTGAAAAATCATCAATAAATGTGATAAAGTACCTTGGTCCTCTAATTTATGGCATCTTCATTGGTCCACAAATATTAGAATGTACAATCTCCAATAATTTGCTAGAACGTATTGCAACTCCTCTTAGAAATGAAGCTTTTTGTTGTTTGCCTTGAATACAGTTTTTACAACTAAGTGATATGGCATTGTAGCTAAATTGACAAAGATCGAAGCGACTTACTATAGATTAGAGCTCTTTCATGCTTTTGGCATTCAAATGATTAATTCATTGATGTCAAATTCCAAACTTATCTTAATTTTATAAAAATTGAACAAATGTTGTGACTTCAACTCCATTCACCTTCTTATAATTGATGAAGTAGAGGTTGCCATATCTTAGGCCTTTGGCAATATGTAGTCTATACAATGTCTTGACAAAACATCTATTTATATCAAATTGAACCTTATAACTATGTAATAGAAGTTTTTTCATAGAAACAAGGTTGTTTTTTATTTTTGGTATATGTAAGAATTCCTTCAATCTAATCCTCTTCATTTGGTCCTTCATAATGATTTCTATCATAATAGAGCCAATTCCAATGACTTATACTATACCATTGTCTCCCAATCAAACATTTATTACTGAAATTTCTTTATAAGTGTCAAATGAATACTTATAAGGAATTATGTCCTTAGTAGCACCTAAATCTATAATCCATTTAGACATGGAAGCCATGGAGGTGCCTACACTTGCCATGAAAGCATAATTATTTCCACCAAAACTATCACTAGCATTGTTTTCATTCTCCTTATCTCCTTTCTTAGCTTTGTAGTAATTCTTAGCAAAGTGAGTTGATTTTCCATAAGTATAACAATTTTTTATATTTTTTTTTGAAATATCATGTTGGAAAGAATAGCTACCTTTGTCTTATCTTAAAAATAGAGCTACATCATCACTTTGAAGCTCATTTTCTTTCTTCTTGGTTACTTCATAGACAAGTTTTGATGTGATATAATTGAAGGTAAGCTCTTTCATGTTGATAGACTCCAATGCGACAATAAAGTAGTTGTAGGACTCAAAAAGGCCCATAAGCAATATCAACATAATATCCTTATTATCAATTAGCTTATCAACAACTGCTAATTGATTTGCAAGTGCTTTTATATTCCTAACATGAACCATGAACTCATCTCCTTCTTCCATCTTTACTATTAAGAACTTCTTCCCTGTTCATAAAAAATTGGCAAGGTTTTTACTTTTATTGATATTGTAAAAAGTTTTCCATGCTTTTATTGATCTATTATAAGTAATTATATGTGAAAAATTGGCATCATTCAAATTTGATGTAATTATGTAAAAAGCCTTCCTTCCACAACATTTGTACTCCTTCTTCATCTTGATATTACTATCATCACTTAGAGGCTCTTCACTTTCATAAACAATATTCTAAAGGTTCAATGAAGCCAACAAGAGTTTCATTTTTTTTCTTCTACTATTGAAAATTATCACCTCTAAACTTTTCAATCACTCTCAAATCCTC